GTTCCGAGCATCATGTGGGTGTTAGTTGTGGCTACAGTCGCTGCCGAATCTGATGAGTGCTCTCACACGCAAATCGGCAGAAATGCAGGCCCATCAGAGGACTGCACTCCAGGTTTAGAGTTGAGAGCACCATGCGCTAGCGAGACCTGGTGCGGTGAACGCTACCAAGTGTCGCCTTCGAGGGTTAAATGTATGTTTCTCTTCCACTGGCACCAGTTATCTCGAATTCCAGACTAGTGGTGGTGTCGGTAAGTCGACGAGTGAGGGTAACCGCGCGGTGCTCGTGGCGGCGGCCTGGAAAAAGGTTGGAGAGGTTTGGAGGTGGAATGCAGCTACTCGCTGGCTGGCGATGGGGATGTTAGGAACTGGAATTATGTGCACCTGGAGCGTGGCGGTTTTGTCGATTTTTTTGTGCATTTGCAACGTGCGGGGACAGATTGTTCACAGCTCTGGAGGTATGTGGCCGTCACGCTGAACCCATTGACACCGCCCTACTTCTGCAAAAAAGGAATGTGATGGCAGTTACATAATTGTAATCTGCTTGTAATTGAGTCTAGCTCTGGTAGAATCTGATCTTGTTTCTTGAACTTCGTAGCACTGTTCATTGGTTACACGCACGAGACTGTTAGCTTCACTTGGTGCACTTGTAGCAAATTCCAATTTTAGGCTTGCAGGGTTTTACAAGCAAACAAGGCATGCACTGCGCTAGTCACTTGCTAGAGCAGAACACAATAAATCACACAGTATGTGTGCACGCCAATGAGTTGATGTCTGAGCCAATTGAGGATCTGTGTGTTCTCTACTGGCAGCTCCTTTAAATATTGATTGTGGTGCAACCGGTTCGTATATCGACTCAATCACGGGTCTGACATGGGAAATAGACGCTCCCTACATTACCACGGGCAAAACTGCGACAGTCGTGCCTTCTGCCTCGTCTTGGGTACAGAATTTCCCCGAGGCGAAGAGCCTAAGATACTTTAACGACACTCGACGGAAGAATTGTTACAAGCTGCCGGTAGTATCGAACACTGAATACCTGCTGAAGGCAATCTTCTACTATGGAAACTACGATAATGCTGCAAATCCCCCCTCCTTTCAGTTGGCACTGGATGGTTTGATTGTGGACGATGTTTCCACTGCTTCTGATGACGGGCAATACTATACAGAGCTCTTGTATGTGTCAAAAGGCACCTCAACCTCTTTTTGCCTCGTGCGAACTTCTCCCCAATCCACACCTTTCGTTTCAGCGATTTCTTTGATAGCGTCGGGTAAACTGACCAGTGTCTACGTGAATCAATACAAGAGTTACATCGTCGATGGACATGTTATAAGGACAATCAAACGAGTGAATATGGGCGCAACGACTATAGTAAGGTGAGCATGATCGTACTCAGAGAAATAAGATGCATATATTCAGAATTTGAACTTTTGGAATTCCAGACTATCGTAAATTCTGACTCTGATGGTCTCATATTTGAATTGGTAGTCAAAACGGCTACTATGAAATAAATTTGAATCGATACCAATTGTAGGTTCTAGCCATTGAAATCAGACAAAGGGGGGTTAAATCAATGGTCTTGTATTGGTCCGTTACACTCTTAGGTGCAATCAGTGATACCAATACTACATGCTAAATCCTTCACATGACAAGCAGTTAAGAGTTAGCTAATTATGATATGGAGTAGTTTCTTCAATGCAAGTCGCTTTAAAGCTAAGTCTTGTCTAGATTGTTGTAGTTTCTTCCACAATTCGGAAGGAGGGATTTTGAATAGTTTCTTTTTTTCTTTTTTTCTTTTTTTCTTTTTTTTTTTCTTTTTTTTTTTGAACAGATAAAAGTTCATTTCGTCAAAATGAAAAACTAAGAAGACCATATGGATTAACCTGATGAATGTGAAGTAAATACAAAACTTGTGTCAACGAGCTAAACCTGATAGATAGACCGCATGCCTTTCTAGTTTGCTGTTAACGACAGTGCACAGTTGCTCTAGTCCGCTAAGACCTCTTGCATCTTCAACTGTAGTTTCAAGTTCTCCATTCATTGCAGATATCCTCAAGATCCTTGGGATCGAATGTGGTTTCCGCATAGTAAATTTCCCAATTTACTTCTCAGCACGACCACAATAGAGACTCTGACGTCAACTCTGACGCAAGTTGATGCCTGGGATGCACCTAAAGTCTTGTGGCAAACTGCTGTCTCCACCTCCACAGATCTTCTAATTTCCTTAATGCCAGTGGGTTGGAATGGCACTCTGGACATTGGATATTTCTCATCTTATTATGCTGAAATTGCCCCTACGATTGTCCCGAGGAGTTTCATTATTCAACCAGCATTCTCACAAATGAGTACAAGAGTCAGCTGGAACGGATCGATCACCGACTATAACGGCTCTGACCTGTATGGTGGACCCGTGACACCAGCTACTTGTAACGTAGCTATGTCTAACACCGGCACCACTGTAAGGGGGCCAATCCTGAGTGGCTTTTCGTTTTTCACAATTCGATCTCAAAAACTGTCAAGAACAAATGATCAGGACGGTGAGTTTTTTTTTTCTCATGCTGAGAAATGAGGGATGTGTGCAGATGGCACACGAGTCAGACCTTGTGGCTTTTGAATGCGTTTTTACACTCATCGCAGTACAAATACTAAAGTTGGGTTTCTTTACATCGGATGAGACAAACTCTATCAGTAGTATTGAATGCAACAACCATGCATCATTGCTGCATTGGCATTTTGTTATGGCTGGCCCACCTTTTGTGCCCCCATTATGCTAGTTGAACTAGCGAAGTCTCTTACATGCTGAGGTTTCTTCATATGAGAATTATTTATAATAGCTCAATGTCGAATGAAAGCATCAGATATTCAGCTTCTCATCCGCATCACAAGCTAACTGATAAGAGGTGTGCTGCAGCTGTCGCTATTGATAAAATTATATCGAGCTTCAATCTTACCGAATGGACTGGTGATCCATGTCTTCCCACTCCGCATGATTGGGTCACTTGTTCCCCTTCAGATACGGGTGGTTGGACACAACCTCAGGTTACTGCCTTGTAAGTGATTTACACACAAAATAGTATCTGGTGATTTTGTTGATAGCTAAAGTTGAATTGAATCTGAAAGGAAATTTGTGAAGTACCTTTTATTAACGAGCCTCGTGGTTCAAATCTTTAACACTTTTTTGGAGGGCTCGTTTGGATGCATAGGAACCTCTCGAGATATAATTTAGTAGGCAACATTCCTCCTGCTTTGGGCGATCTCGTGGCTCTCACCAGCTTGTGAGTTAGAAGAACCCACATTGCCAGTTCATGTTCTGTAGGGTAAACTAACTTTGACGTTCGTTTTATTCAAGTTTCATTCGAACTTGATATTTTTCTCCTCTTATTGGTCAACATTTTGTGTTGTTTTCAGAAAATTAGACAACAATAAACTCACGGGAGGGCTACCATATCTGAGTTCTATTACAAACCTTGAAGTATTGTAAGCATTCATGATCCAGACCGCCCCACTTGAGGAAAAAATTAGGAAAAAAGAATTAGATGAATTATAAGTGTATATTTTGCAGTGTGGTTTATGACTAGAAGCAATTTTTCAGTTCAGAAACTTGTTATGGCAATGAAGCACTCAATTGTTCACTATGCCTCTCCAGGAACTTGGACAATAATAATCTCTCTGGCGAGCTTCCAACCTGGCTGGGAGAATTTAGAAAGTTGCAAGAATTGTAAGCGAGCTTTTAATTTGTGATTTACATTCGTCATGTTTCATATCCATATGTGTGTACATATATGGGGGGTTTTTTGCGCCATACTCTTTCTTCCAAAGGATTTTATTTTGTTGGTTTATTTCCAGATACGTTAGCGTTTTTGATGCCATCAATAACCATACCATAGTGAAACTAAGAATTCGAGTGCTAGTTTGGTGGCATAGATTGCAGGAGTACTTCTGAGAACGTTGGCCCGCATATATGGTGTTGACGAAGATATTTTGTACGCCTTTGATTGCAGGACTCTGCAGAATAACAACTTCAGTGGAACTATTCCCGCATTCAACCATTACATACCGAAATTTATGTAAGTTTCTTTTCACGCAAAACCAAGGCTAGTTCTTTTCTGAAGAAAGTTGAGTGATTGGATTCTCCAATTATTTTACAACAGTACTCTTGGTTGCAACGTACTACGCTACTATACAGTATTGACGTTTGCAGAAAACCTGTTCGTTACTCTAGAAACTAGGCTTCTTATGCATTAACAAGTGCGTTGCATGAATGTCTGCATCCGAAATACAGATTTAAACCTGGAAACCCTCAATTAATCGACAATGTGTCTAATATAAAACCTGGTCCAACTCCGAATAAGGGAGTCATTGCTGGTGCAATTGTTGGTGGCGTAGTGGGAGTTGCACTCATTGTCCTAATCGTCTTTGTTATTATTCGCCGGAAGAGTCACAACTCAACTAACACCAACGCTGCTGGTAAGTATGTTCCTTGCGTTATAAAGTATGAAGGAGATTAATACGTCCTCTGGTTGCTCATAATTCAACAGCTCACATTCTGTCAATGCGTGGTAAAACTCAACTCTCTGTGATTTTGTAGCGAGGGAATTTGTCGGTGGAGCCAAAGTCTTCACACATGCCGAAGTCAGCTTTGCCACGAAGAAGTTCCAGACAGAGATTGGGAAAGGTGGATTTGGACCCGTTTACTATGGAAAGCTTCGTGACGGACAAGAGGTAGCCGTCAAGGTTTGTAAGGAATCTCAGGGGACCGGAGAGTTCTTCAATGAGGTTTGAAGTGCTTGCCTAGCCTATTATTTCATCTCCTTCGCCTCAATTTTCTGTAGAGTGAGTGCAAAAGGTTTTATGATCGTGGTTACAGGTGTTGATTTTGAATGACGGAAATCCACTGGACACGTGATGTACACACATGAGCGGTACTCTGAGAACACCTTCATTTGAACCTTGACTAAATTGGGGTTCAACTTGATTGTTTCCAGGTCGAGGTTCTTTCCAAGCTGCGTCATAAGAACTTGGTAACATTGATAGGCTACTGTCAAGAAGTGGAGCAAATTCTGATCTACGAGTTCATGGAAAATGGTTCCCTGCATGATCATTTGTTTGGTAAGCCGCCTCTACTCTAGTGCTGATCGGGTCAATCGCATGAAGTTTCCACGTAGAATTGATGTAAGCTGCATCTTCTATTCTGCTGTAAGCAATGAAACGTCTTTCAAGGACTCATGTGAGATGTTTCGAGATGCTGGTAGTGATTTCTCACATAGAGAGCCGTAACAAGAAACATTGCTTGGATACCAATGCCCGCAGGAAATTCAAAATATACTGCTGGCAATCTCGACTGGACGACGCGCCTGAATATTGCACTTGATGCGGCACAAGGTACATTTGAGATCATATTGTTCTGCAGCATTGTGCATTGCTGTCGGCTATTGTGAAAGCTGATGCTTTCTCAAGTATTTTTGATCCATGCACGCAGGAATGTCAAGAAGTTGCAAACGTAGCATACCAAAAGTGACAGGATAACAGAGAAAGCATATGTCATAGTTTTTGTTACTCGATGACCAACCTCTGTAACACTGTAGCTTATTTTTGAGAATTGTTGGTGCAGGCTTGGCGTACCTGCATACAGGGTGCGGTGAAAGTATTGTACATCGTGATATCAAAAGCACCAACATTCTTCTCACCGCCAAATTTGGGGCCAAAGTTGCCGATTTCGGGGTAACGAAGTTGATAGGGGATGATTCAAAAGTCTTCACTCTAGTCAAGGGAACTGCGGGTTACTTGGATCCAGAGTATGTATCAAATAGTAGCCCAACTTCATCTTCGTCATTGGTTAAACAGAGTAATGCTGTCACGAAAAGTTAGCAAACATTTATATGTCGAATTGCAGTGCTTTAACAACTAGGCTCAGCTCGTGTAGAAAATACTTCGAAGGCTTCCTGAGATTCTGCATGTTTGTAAGATTCCGCTCAATACTAGGTGTCACATTACTTACGCTTGAAGATACGTTCTGTGCAGGTATTACACTACCCATTTTCTAACACTGAAGAGTGACATCTTTAGCTTCGGAGTTGTTCTCTTGGAACTGCTGACAGGTCGCGCATGCATCGATCGATCAAACCCAAGCAACATGCATCCAAACATCTGTGATTGGGTTAGTATTACTATCACCCAGCGAAGTATATAATTGCTTAGTTCTCTTGTAATAGTTTGAATGGTTACCAAACATGATAACTACTGTAATTACAGTGCATTAGTGTTGCGGTGCAGTATTTCTTATTATGGAATGAATACATTTAATGTCTTATTAAGACGTATTGCTGCGTCAAAATACTTTTGACGTTATCAATTACTCATGAATTAGAGGAACAAGATGAGTTCGTGGATACCAGCATTAATAACTCAAGAGATGCTTGTGGTCTCATCTAGCCTATGCTCACTAGACCTGACTTCCGCCTTCTGTAGGTGCGGAAGACTCTAAAACATGGCGATGTTCGAGAGGTTTTGGACCCTGCTATGACAAAATCTGTTCCAGGACCATCCCTAGAAGCTGCTTGGAAGGTTGCCGAGATCGCAATGCAGTGCGTCGAACCGAGGAGTATTCACAGGCCGACGATACTCAGAGTTGTCGAAGAACTGCATCTCGCATTGAAAGTGGAGGAACAAAATTCATCATCTGAGTATTCCATTAAACATAGCTTCTCAGTCGTAGCCTCGGGTAGGTAGATTGTAAATGCATGTCTGATTAGGGTTTCTTCTTGGCTTTTGGGGGGAGGATGTGCGTGTGAAGAAGATTTTTTCCGTACTATCATTTTCACAGTAAGCAATTCTGATGTTGACCTTGACCCTGTGAGTAACCAAACTGTGTCGTTTATCAAAGTAGACTCCGCTCTCTACAGGCATTTCACAACCATCTCTGCATGATTCCCAAAACAGTTCCACGTAGTTTAGCCTCCTTCCAGTCCTCGATGTTGATGCCAACTTGCTGGTTGGAACCATCGTAGTGGATCGCTTCCATTCTCTCACTCCTCGTTCGCATCAAAACATTCCAGTGAACATATAGCTCTAGATGCAAACAAAAACAACCCGCTTAAAGCAATATCTCCAAGGAAATATAAAACCCACCATAAAATTATGAAAATGAACTATGTTCAAAACAATATATAATATCAATTTTTAAATATCATTTTTAATAATTCAATTTTTTTAATATACATCATTGATTGTCAATAACTACCACATAAATAACATATTATGTTTTTTTTATTATTATTATAAGTGCTTATTTATTATATTTTTAAAAAAATCAAAAAAATATTATATATATATATATATATATATATATATATATATAAAAGTATTGAATTATAGAAGGTGACCATCAAGGTAATCTTGCTTTGACTCTTTCCGCATATTTTAGTCCACCCATCTTTTCTTCAAATAATATTGTTGCCATCAAATATACTTTCATATGTGATGTTGGTTACTTTACATTTATTCTTGGCTCTAAAGAATTTTATAGCCCTCATAAAGAAATTTCTTGAAATTTTGCTATTAGATTCCATATACAAAATCAATTGGTGAGTTTTTTTATTCTTATATGTATTTTAAAGGTCTTCATCATAATGCTTGTTTGTAAAAGTGTGTCTTGATTGCTTCAACTGCTATTTCAATAGAAGAACACAATAGGTGTACAAATTCACATATTTCTTTTATGAAATCTGAGAAAAAAAATAGGAAATCTATTTTAAAATAATAAAATTCTATCCAGTTGAAGGATTTCTATGGTGGTATGTGTCTAGATGCTTTTAGAGGTGTAAAGTTGTAACAATTGTAAATTCTTTTAAACTTAAGACATGCAATTTGTGACTAGTGTGCAAAATTCTTATAAAGTGTGACAAGGTGTATTGTAGTGGATATAGTTTTTACATTATAAGTGAACCATATAAATTTGGTATATAAGTATTTGAGTAGATTATCTCAATTTGATAGATTGTGATTGATCAATGTAACAATTTACAATATCTATTGATATTTTTATTTTCCTTACATATTCAATTTCAATATGCCTTTATATTTATTGTTGGTTCTATAACAACCAATATATATATATATATATATATATATATATATTTATTGGCTTTTCTTTCAAACAAGGCAAAATAGATGTGGATTACTTATGGTTCTTAAAACATGTCTCCAATACCTTAGGAAATGGAAATGCACTATGGATGATAGTCACAAATCAAGAACTAGCATTGATGGAAGTTATTAAAGAGGTTTTTAGAAATATTGTGCCCTATTGTTTTGTACTTGGCACATCTGAAAGAATGTTTTAGTAAAATTTAAGCAGTGGTTTGAAAACAATAAAGATTTTGAAGCCTTTATGTGGCAATAAAGGGATGTTGTTTACACTAGTACAAAGGAGAAATTTCAAAGCTTGTGGATAGAATTGCAAGTATCTTAAACCATTGGAAAGAAAGTTATTGACTACCTACACAAAATTTAGATCCCACATTGGACTAACTTTGTTTGTGCATGAAAAATGAAGATTATGCATTTTGGGCATTTGATTATTTCTTGTATAAAAAGAAATTCAACTATGAAGGGATAGATGATAATATCAATTGGAAATTTGAAAGCCATATATGACAAAAATATTCTATGTATACAAAGTCAAGATTGTTAAAAATATTCTATGTAAATAAAGCCATATACGACAAAAATATTCTATGTTATGGAATTGCATGCAAATCCACTAAAATTTATCTCAACATACCAATCTTTTTTGGTGCCTTGTGATTCAAAACAATTCCAACTATGACATATGTATAGTTCTCAAAGAATTTGGAAAAATAACCTAGATACTAAGTGACTACATAATCTTAGATTGCACTATTTTCTTGTCAGCAACAATGAATATTATATGTTTCCACAAATTAAAGGGATTAGTAGATGCCAATAAACATATATTTTTTGATCATTTTTTTCAACATTGGTAATTAAAACCAACATCATTGGATAAGATGATATCAAAAAATCTAAGCTTGGAACATATCATGTTGAAAATTTCACCATGTTATAAAGAACTCTTACTACATCAATAACAACTTTTAGAAAAACTAGATTTTGAACCTTATATAAACAAAACAAAACGTAAACAATCTGTAAAAAATTATGTACAAGAAGAAAACATGTTGGTAGTGTGGCCTCTTTCTTTCTTCAATCATTCAATAAAAATCTTTTGCATTTGAATTGATAGAGAATACAAAAAGAAAGTGATGTAAGAAGTGTAAAGATATTAGACATAACAAACATAGCTATCTATTTTTATAAAAGAAGGTAGAAGGTATGTCCATAACTTCTTAATTTTTTATATTTAATTATATCAAATTTTACAATCTTTTTACTTAATTTATAATTAATTAAAATCTTCAAAATATATTTACTATATTTTGATATACTTCTTTTTATTCCAATTATTGATTGTAATAGCTTTTAAATAATTTATTATCAAAAATCTTTGTTTAGATACAATACATTATCTATCTTTAACATTATTAGGTGTAAATCTTTCATGTTATAACTTATATTATATCAAATTCAATAAAAGCCTCATTGTTCCAATCAAGTAAAAATATAAATTTGTAAAATTTTAATAATTTAGATGGTAGTTAAAAGTAATTTTTTTATAAATATTAAATTTTTATAAGAATATAAGGTTATAAAATAATATTATAATAATATATGAATATGAAAGAATATAATAATATAATGGCATTTATTAGTACCAAAGCTTGATCAAAACCAATGCAGAAGGATTGGATCTTTTCATACAACTAAACAAGTTGGGTCAAGGCCCAACAAAAGAACAATTATATTTCTTCTTAGATAATAATAAGAGCAATTGTAAAAGTGGTATTAAAATTGGCTATTTCCACTATATACAACACAGACATCTTAAAGAAGAACATCTCTTTGTTAGTTCAACATGTTAAGCAAATGCAAATGCAAATGCCAAAAAAAAAAAAAAAAAAAAAAAAAAAAAAATCTCATTATTTCATTGATAAATAAATTGATATTTGCTATTACATAAGATTTTCATAAGTGAAACAATAGGCAAATAACCATCAAGGGTGATTTGGCACAACCATTGGTGCTCATTATAAATAGTATGTGTAATAACTTGACTTTTATGATCCCTCTCATATAGGATAGTCACAATGTTTTTGGTGGTATTCTTCTGGCAAGCATCCAAGTCATCATCTCCTTCACTACTAGTTGAAGTTGTCATGCAATCAAATGTCCTATAAGAGATATTAAAGGACTGTGGTTATATTTGCCATTTTGTATTATTAAGTGCCATTTTGTAGTATTTTGGATACAATATGCATGCAATGCAAATGGACACCCAATTAATCAACTTGTGGTATTTTGTCAACAAATGATATTATTTCACTCACTATGGATTTGTCACATTTGAAATCAATGCAATAATTGTCAAATTGTCGCTTGCAAACAACATATCCTTTGCAAACCTATCTATACTCAATATGTTGTGTATATGTCATTTACAATAGAATATAGACAGATTTGCTTAGACAAAATATCAAAAATATTGCAAAAGTATAATGCAAAGTAAGCAACAAGTTGGCTTAGAACATAAGATATAGTTCTAACAAGGTAGGGTAATAGGAAGGGACTGTAAATTATAGCCATTAATTGTTAGTTGTTACTAATGATATTTCTATGGTTTTACCAATTTTATTTTTTTTAAACCCATTATTATATTGATCCAAATATAGATCATAGTTATGATAATGCAGATGATCCAAAGAACATAGAATGTGCTTTGTAATAATGGATGGAATAATTTAGTAAAACCTTGGGTCAATTTGACATTCCCCTTTAATAATTTCCACATTGATTTTAGGTTCTGATTTAATATAAGTAATTGAAATTCAGTGTGCAATAGATGGAGGATGTAGTGTAGTTGAAAACCAAAGTGGTCAAACGCAAAGCATATGTCCTTGCCAAAGAATTAACATTAACTTGATATCTATGTCGACAAAAACAATCTGCATAGGATAAACAGACTAAATCTATGTTATTCTAAAAACACATTCTTCCTCAATAAATTCCAAATTCATAAGATTAAGACATCCAAAAACAAAACAAAAACTGACTGGTTCTTGACAACAATGAAAAAGAAACTAGATGCACATTTCAGGGTTCAACTTTCCGAAAGTTGACTGAAAAGTGATGATCAATCGGAACATTTTAGCAGCTCACACTAAACAGAAGTTAGATGCACGCATTACAATCTAACGGAACTTCGCGTCCTCTTGTTTTCACTTATAATATAGACGGATACCTACACCGCAATCCCAACCGAACTTCACAGTGAATATTCTACGTAGTTATCACTAAACCTTCCGTACACTAAATTTTACATGGTGCTACATTTTCACCACTTCAAACACCATAAAAAGGAGAGGTATGCACGGTGAAAAGATGCAGACCCCATGGGAAGAGGGGCAATAAAAGTAACCGGACTTTAAAAGCTCAAGTAAGAGAGTAATCTAGTGCCCATGATTAATCAGCATCACCCAAGCCATCGCTCCCATCTCCTCTTTTATGTATAGGTGCAAAATTGGGACCCGCTGGTTTGCCTTGCTGTCCGGCCAGTTCAGCATTTCTTCGTAAAACTGCACCAGGTGATGGATATGGTCGTTGTTGAAACAGAGGCCCCTAGCAATAGAAAGAAAACAAGCATGAGCCAAACCAGTACATAAAAAATGAAACTGGGCTATTTGGAGTTGAGCAAAATGCAAGCTACATCAGCAGCATTGACATTATTCTAAGCAAATAATTACGTCTCCATATAAATGAAAAACCTACGAAAGATGAGTCTCGAAGGCATAGATAGATGGATTAGATAGGATTGCATTACATCTCATTGATAATACCCAAAAAACGTTCAAAATCGACTACAGCTAACCAAAAATTGGCATAAGAACTTACTGTAGCGGTGGTGTCAGCTGCTTTAGGCTGCTGACCTTTTAGTCCGACTCCCCTGTTGGTAACCAAAAGAAAGCACAAGGAATTAAATACAGTAAAACTAACCACAACTCCTGTCCTCCATACCAATACAAGAAACAATCACTTCACATCTACCACGATATTGCGTTCAGTTGGAAACTGACTCTCTCCAATAATTAGAAACTAAAACTTGGTGGCAGGTTCGAACATACAGTCCACAAAGTTGCCATCCCATAAACAAAAGTGGACCTATAAATTGACACCATATACCACTGTCTCTAAGAAGCAAAAGAATCAGCAAAAGTTGTAGCATGAATTTCAATACTGAGACTTACCAACCACCACGAGGTGCATCTGAGTAAGAACTTGGGTCCATAGGGTCAAGAACATCACTATCTACAGGACCTCTTTTCCTTGGGTCCCTTCTGTTCACCTTTGTTATGGGTGACTTCAAGCCCAGCCTGCGTTCAAAACAATACTCCTTAGATCCACAAATTGATGGGTCAATCCTAACACAAGTCTAAAGTATGCAGCATCGCAAGCTAAGTGTCACAAACACTCACTGAATAGTCATCTAAAACTGCTCAAATGAACGCTACATGTCTCATCGTTAACTGCACCCCATCACAGCAGGAAACAATTGCTTTCATAAGAGATGATCGGGGTTACTTTTGTTTGGGATCCTTCTTTATAACTTCGACTCTCACTGCTGCTGCAATGTCAGCCTGCCACTTGTGCTTAAATTCAGGTTCATGCTCCTCTGCAGGCTCAACTCCGTCAGCTGCACTATTAGCAGCTGCAGCTGCTGCAGAGCGTTTTGCACCAAGTGAAGCATGTTGCGGAGGCACCGCAATGTTGAGAACTCTGTTCATACACAATAAACGCATCGTGTTCTCAATTTTTTGCTTGTTAGAGAGGTTGAGCAGATAAACCCCAAATAAACTCTATTTGATCTGGTATGAGCAGATGGAAATCAGCTGAGATGTATCCAGCTTATGGAGCAAAGTTTTAAAGAAATAAAATACGAGCGAGCATTCACTAATTAAGCTTCTCTAGTGTTTCGGTCTCCAATATAGGTTCAACAACCTTGAATAGGTAAAGCAAATGCAAAAACACAGCAAAACCTGTCTCAAATCTGAAGCGTCATGTACCTTAGGATCATGAAAATTCGCACCTGGTACAATGATTACAGTAGTTCCAGGCCTGAACGAGTCCCCGGCCCCAACCTTGACAACCTAAACACTTCTTGAATTTTGACCCGTTGATGGCAGCTGAAGACACATCGCCGTTGCCAGTCGAAGCATGATTTTCAGAGTTATCGTCTGCAGCAGCTCCGGTGGGCCTCTCCCACCGGGTTTCGTTTGTCTTTATGTTGTAATAATACTTCTGACCTGCGATAGAGCAGAAACAATCAGTTCAAAAGGAGTTTCCAATATTTCAGTCATGAATTAATAAAAAGTGATTCATACATAACGTTTGTAGCAAAAATCATCGTGCGCAATAGCGAACCAGTGTGTAGAGAATACCTGATGCGGAATCGGTAGCCTCCTGCCAATCTGCAGGCAGTAGTGACAGGGAAGGTGGAGGAGGTGGCGGGAGAAGCAGTGCTTTGGGAGCCGGACGTTCCCATTGACTCTTCCCTGTCGTCTGATTATAATAGTACGTAACTCCGCTCTCTGGATCCTTTCCTTCCACCTGGTTAACGATCAGGAAAACATTCAGATGAACGGTATCCATATATTAGAAATAAAGGCAATCCAAAACAAAACCAGTACAGAAGAAATCATGAAAGATAGGGCTATTTCTGTCGATTGTTATCTTCTAACAGCCAAGACAGCTAAGCACGTTATCAGTCAAAAATCAACTGTAGTTCCTGAAAAGAAAATCAAGCACTCTCTTAAAAGAACCAGTGAAGATACACGAGTGAAGATGACTGATCCCTGTTGAAATAAGGAGCAGAACAGTAGTTGCATACCCAGCCTGGAGGCAGCATATCTGTCGATTCAGTCTCAGAAGTGTTCTGCATATGAAAGAGGTTCCAAAGGCTCAGTTCAAAGCAATCACAACTATATCAAGCTTGAGAGGAAAGAAGTCAATCAGAAACACTGAACCTAAAGCAAAGAAAGTTTCTCAAACACAATCATACAACCAAAGGCAACCGTAGATGCGGACGGAATGTTGGTACTGAAGGCAGCCTGCACAAACAAGATTTAATTGATGAAAAGTGGGACCAGAGTTACTCACCACATTTTGAATAATATTGTTGGGTCCATCCTTAAGAATGCCACGTGCTTGCAACTTTTCTTTAAGAAAATCAGGCAAATCTCCTTTTTTTCCAATTCCATCCAAATCCGTGACCACACGCTGATCAACGTCTCTTCCAAGTGCCCCAGCTTGAACATCGATAACTCCACGAGCTGACATTTTCACGCCTACTGAATTAAAGCGCTCACTCCCATCAGAAACGCCTCGAGAGCCTTCGAAATGTCCAGAATGACTTCTATCGAAAGTAGGCCCATTAAAATCTGGCTTGTAAACATTCGGAACGGCAGCTGATGTGAACATTGGTGGACGTGCACTGTTGTAATAGGCGCCTCCTCCTGGTACGCCATAACCATTACCAATCTCCATGTTTTCTGCAACCAGGTTATGGTACATCAGATGCAGGTGCTCATGCCCTATAATAACAAAAGTCTAGAAAGCCATCCAACATTTATAAAACATTTTAAAAGCTTCATTTGTTCAAAACTAAAAGTTAGTTCGCGAACATTTGACGTTAGAACGACAGCTTGGATGCATACGGCAACATGTTCAGTTCAATTAGCTATCTTACATACCCAACTAGAGGGTATCAAATCCACACGAAAAGTCTACAGCAATCTAATGGTTCTGAGATATCGACAATTATAAAAAAATTAAAATTAAAAATCATAGGTACACCAAGACCCTATATTTTGGTGTAAGCAAATTATCGCAAGAGATACACAAGTAGCCCTTTTATTTGTAACAGAATCTCCCATACAACCCCACCACCATAACGACCTTGCTCTAGTTGGGTAGGCCTTCCACGCTTGGAAGCCATCTCCAAACGGTGCTCAGAGGTCATCTTCAGAAGCTTCTCCTGCATCCACAAGTCAGCCACACTTCACCGACCACACTCTTTTCCCACAAAGTTTTCTATCCCAGCTGTTAACCTTCGTTCACTGTACAAATATTTGTGAGGCCAACTTTTCAGCGTACAATTACCCAATCAGACTGGCTTGAAGCTTTAATTTCATTGATGAACAGGCACAACAAGGTCACAGAACCAAAGCACGTTAATGTAACCAATACTATTGCACTGATAAGTATCAACGTAAGTTTAAGAAGTGTGTGCAGACAGATCCTGGAACAGAGATGAACAATCTAAAACTTGGACAGGTAAACATGACTCATGAAACCAAGCAGTGTATGATCGAATTAGTTAAGATAGATCAAATACAACCAGCGTCATTATTCTGTCCAATTCAAGGGAAAAAAACGCCTGAGTTAATATGAACATGTCCAAAAGATCCGCTCTATCTGATTTCAATCACATAGTTGCTTACAAATCAGCATCAACCATCACAAGGTTTAATCCTAAGGCACACCTTGTGTCCCTCTCATCTCGGTTGATCAGACAACTTCAAAACTGTGCAATCTACGAACGGCTGTACGTCAAGATTCAGACAGGCAAAACCAAATTCTCACCTTAAGTGTACCCTCGTCATGGCGGGCTGACAGAACATCCCGTTCACTTGTGTCCAGGGTGTCGAAAGCCCTATTATCTCTTCTGCTCAATGAAATTTACAAATGTAACCCTTGAGAAAAGAACTCACAGCATCTTCTTGAATTTTTTTGGAAGTCTAGTACGTCACTACAAGAGCTGAATGTGGGTGAAAAGAAATAAACAGAGATCTAAACATCATAGCTGAGTCTACGAAAGAGCGCAATCAACTTCTTCATTAAATCTACATTCAAAAGACAAGCATACTATGCGTGACGCAAACTTCATGTATTCCTAGACTCACAAGAATGCTTTGATACGATTCACATACCTATGTTGGGCAATGACATCATGAGCACTAGCTTCCTGTTCTCTCAGCACTGCCTCCTGCACTGCAGCTTCCATCCTAAACCTGGCAACATCTCTGTTATCGAAAAATGCATGCCCGTTTTGTGCATACCCTGGACTCGGTCCCGGCTTGCACTGATCCTGAGGAGGTCCTCGTGGCCATCCACCTGCTGTCCTTTCTTCATGTTCGACACCAGGGCTGTCTTTATCTTCAGGAGCAGGGTCCCATCGCGATTTTCGTTTTCTGGGAAGCTGCTGATCCTTAGTTTTCTCTTGCGCTGCGGAATTCTCCCCAAATTGATCAGAGTTTAATTCGCCCTGCAGATGTGAGATTGGAGCATCGTGAAATCCAGTCTGTCGTTTGCGTTGCGTTTGCTGCTGAGGAACCTGTGGACCTAGCAGACCTTGCGGGTAACTTTGTTGGGAAGGCCCCTGCGACGGTAAAGTGAAAGGCTGAGGAGGCCAAGGTCGCTGAGATTGTACATGGGGCATCTGGATCTGCGGTGGAGGTTGCCCTTGCGAAGCCCACTGAGGGGATGGACCACCTCCTCCAGTACCACCTTGCATCACTTGGGGAAATGCATCTCGAGGATGCGCCGGCTGCTGTCCATGATGAGGCAATTGTGACGGCTGAGAATCAGGCAATCCACTCAAATCTGAACGGGGCTGATTTGGCTTACTTAATGGAGCACTACCATTCAGTGGCCCGCTAATGCTATCTACTGACAACCCACGAGCAGCAGAGTCACTTCGTGAAGGAGAGATATATGGCTGAGCCTGCGGCTGAAACTGCCTTTCATGTTGCTGACCTTGAGATAGGGGGAAAACCGAGGGAGGTAGCCCAGAATGTGGTGGATTAGGACCACCGTGAGAGGGCGGAGGCCCTACACCGCTGATTGGTGGCCCCTGGAAGGAAGGATCAGCATGATTGCCAGCAGGGCGATGGTGAAATGAAAATTGTTGAGGAAATTGCTGAGAATGGTTAAAAGGGGGTCTAGAGGGAGGAAGTTGTCCTGGGTTACTCTGACCATCGGGATTGCTAGGATATTGCTGGAGTGAGAAATTAGGAAACTGGTGATTTGGTCGAGAAGGAAATGGACCATTCGACGGTCCACGGGGAAAGTGTTGGGGAGGATTTTGAATATTTGGCTGAAATGAAAGACCTTGTTGGTGTGGTGGTTGAGCCCCAGAAGGCCGGAAATGATTCATTTGCTGACATGGAGGCCGCTGATACCCCATAAAGGGCGGCCCTTGTGCATGCTGCTGATATTGCAACCCTGGAGAAAGCACCCCGGGAACACCTGGAGCCAGTGGCCGCACGGAGTGGTTGCCTTCAGGACCGTCGTCTACCGGAGTCCCTAGAGGTGGAGGGTTGTCAGATGCTGGCAATTGACCCCCTTTCATCCCTGTCAAGAAACAATGCGTTCTGAATTTGTTTACAAATTTGTTCCACAATAGACACCAACGCGTTGAACCTGCCCTACGACAGCACATAATATCTACGAGCGATATTAACCTCCTCTCACACTTGTAACATAGAAGGATTGTGAAATAAAATCAAACAAACAGCAACAAGTAAGAATTAGATCACAAATGAAGCTCGACAACGCCAAGCCGAGAATTAGAACGAGGGCACTATATGTAAGGAGTTACGGTCACAAAAATAAGTTACACACATTACCCAGGTCTACATGCTCCTACTTTAACAAGAGGTCTCATCTCGTTTGTTTCTTTAAAACTAAAACGTCCACCTGATAAAACGAGGCTTCATGAGAGCTAGATTGAATTAAACATCCCGGACGTCTGTGCTCATATAAATGTTAGCAGCGAGCACTAAAGAATAGGAACATTTATACAGAAAACAAATACCCTGCTCAACCCCTCAAGCCAGTTCAGCGTCTGTTTCGAATGCCCTCAATTTCATCATTCGACTCCTTTGCATGCACTTTTAAATTCATACACAGCCATACATTACCCCGACTATCAAAGTACGAATTGCAACTTAGTCCTGTTGTGCATTCGACCAATGCCGTCCATGTTACTCAAACCTCACTAAGGGAACATTAAAAGACACGCATACAACAACCAGAATATGGTTCCTCGTCCATAATAGAACTAACTGTGACCACCATGCAAAACCCACTACCTAACCCTAATACCCCCAGAAACCTAAATGACGTCCGAGGATACTCACACCTCTGAAGCCATTATGCTCTCCCAGTGTCACTTGCGGGGGATTTTGCCTCCTACAGCACTGACCTAGAACAATTCCCTGAATTCCCCCTCATCTAAGCTAGCAGATTACGGGTTTACAGTAGTTCCGCATGAAGAGAAAAAGAGGGTACAACAATTTTCAAAAAATAAAAACATAAAGCAGAAGTACTCACCTGTGGACGGGAGAGGAGAGAGAATTCCAAAATGACCAGAATTAACCTTCAAACATAACCTAAATGCTCATTCCGCAAAGGTACATGCAACCAAACCATCCCACGCTACAAAATGCACCACAGAATACGCGGAACACAGATGCCCGATTCCGCACACGTCCAGGTATACACTATAACTGCAAGCGGAAAGCACTAAACCCCAAGAAGAACAAAACAAAACAGAACCGATATAAAAATAAAAAATAAAAATAAAACGAAAGAAAGAAAGAATGAAACCAAGAGAAAGCTGCGCAGGAAAAGAATCGATCGAGTGTCAAGGAATCGGAACAACACTCACAGGCCGGCATGGTGAGGTCCCGGCCACGGCCTCGGCCCGCCATGGCGTGTCCCGCCGAGTTCAGCCCCGATTCAGTAGCAGGCAGGCAGGCAGGGTGGGGAAGGAAGGGGGGGGGGGTGATGGGACGGGGAGGGAGGGAAGGAGGGCAGTCTATCTACTACGATCGGCCAAGGGCGCCAATATTGGATGATGGATTGGTTTCCGGAAGTGGAGCTCCTCGCATCGTCGTCGTCATCGCGGCGAAGGCGAGGACGTGAGACGGAAACATAGCCCGAGACTTCTTCGACCGACACTCACACACTCACACAAAACCATGCTCTCTCACTCGGTCACTTACTCACTCACTCCGAGCAGCTCCATTAGGGTTTCGCCCATCCCCCCCCCCCCACCCTCCCGGCCCGCGACTCTCGCTCGCCCGGCCAATGTCCGAATCCCTTGATTCACATCCCTCTGCCACGTCTCAGCAGATCCCAGATATATATATATATATATATATATGGTGTGTGTCTCTCTATATACATATATTTATTCATTTATTTATGTATGTGTCTATATTAGGATTTCCAGTATACTATGTATACATATATATATATATATATATAAACTTTGCCATGGTTTTTTTTAAGCTTGTTGTTCTAAGAAGGAAGTACATTGATTGATCAATCAATGAAATTTCTTGTATGTTCATGACCTGGTGATTTGGAAATATGTTTTTTAAAATTAATTTTTGAAAAAATATATTCAGATAAAGAATATGATTTTGATGAAGTATATAGCAGTTGCAGGATTTGTTTATTTTAAAGAATTTGTATGAGGAAATGTCATAATATAATATTTATGTTTGTTTCTTGGTTTAATATTATTTAAATTGAGTAAAGAAATTCATGCATTCTTAGCATGGTCAAACTTTTTGTTTTTTTTATAATAGTATGGTAAAAGTCATCGACGTTTTTCTATCTTGTTTTGAAATTTCAACATTGAATCTTTGTTGTTTTCAGGTCCCACCTAATTCAAAGTATTGAAATTATAATCGTATTAATTGCACACCATGTATTATTATTTTGGTCATACATTTCTTAAAAGATCTCAATGTTTAGAAAATCTTTTGAAATATCATATAGGTATTAAAGAATAGCAACACAACATTTCATAATTATCTTTTACTTTTTGGAAATAATACTTGTCAAAAAAACCAATTTTAGAGGCTAAAATGACCTCAAAAATCTACAACATAATATCACATTCATGATAACAAATTATCTACATGATGGTATATATGTTTGTATTAGTGTTCCAATTATTTTTGCAGGAATGTGAATCACTGAAAAACAGCTTGAAACTGAAGAGAAACAAATAAACACACATATTAACAAATGCTCAGTTTAGAAAAAAAAAACAATTTTATAAATTAGTATTTAGAAACCGATAAAAAAAATATCAAAATAATTTCGAAAAATTTTATTTTTTATTTTTTAAAAATGGAAACACCCTAAATAAATACATTTGTAATGTAATCCACCACATGAATACATAATAATTTTGGTCCAAGCAGTCAATCGATGCTTGCACAGTTTGTGGATACTAAAGAAATACATTGTATAATTCTATCAGTGTATTACATACAATAATGAGATTATAAATAGTTTTATAATTCTTAGAATTAAAACTCATATCATGCTCAAACTTTGTATATACAAATATGTAATATTATATAGCTCAATTTCATCAATATATTCTAAATAGTTTTCAATTAATGTTCACAGATGATTTGAGAGTTTCTGATATTACAAAACACATACATATAAAAAAAAGCACTCTATCTTTAAAATTAAGAATTTCAAAAACTAATCATAAATCAATCATATATATATATATATATATATGATTGATTTATGATTAGTATATATATATATATATTTTTTAAGCCAAAAAAACTACAGTTTGTTTTTGATTATGAAAAAAAAAGAAAAAGAAAAAGAAATAATAATAATAATAATAATAATAACGCAAAAATTGGTCTTTGTATTTTGGGAACCATTAGGTGGTCACCCTCCTCTTACTGTGTGGACACCTCCATTCTACTACGTAGATACCTTCTTTTACTATGTGGACACCCCCTTCAACCTTGTATACACACAATTATGTCCAAAATTATTGAGTGTATATATATATATATGTATATGCATATAATATGTATGTTAAAATAAATCTTTGAATATATATTACATTTAATAAAAATAACATTATTAATACATGTCCATATTTATTTAGAGAACAAGCCCTTGAAATGTAAAATGATATAAGAATGATACCACTTTGTGTACATGGCAGTGTGTGGCACAGAGGGTGTCCACCTAGAAATTTTCTATAATTTATATCCTTTTTTGTTTTGACTTTCAGTGAATTATATCTGATGTTTGTTGGGAAAATTAGCTAACGAATTATCAGCAAGTTTGAAACTTCAGTAGAAAGAAGCTAGTTTTATTTTTTTATTATAAATCATTTCAACATGTGATACTATAATTATTTATTTTATCTATCAAATTTGGAACTACCCTCTAATTATGCAAATAAGAAACATCAAAACTAAAATAAATATTTTATGCTGTATATATAATTTAAAAAATCATAAAATATTAGAATCGTTACTTGCTTATTCATTTTATGCATCCAAATATTAATGCATAACCAGATTTACATGGTTAACTTGTTCGTCTTCTCTTCTCTATGTTGATTTTTACATAATGTAGCAAAAATGCACAAATTTCAAATTTTCAAATATTCCAAAACATTATATTTGATATATATATATATATATATATATACACACACTTAGCACACCTTTGGTGCCCCTTTAATCTTTATTAATACTACAAATTAAAGTTTTTATTCCCAATGCACAAAACATTGAATTCAATTCAATTCAAAAAGTTCTATTGTCATTATTCTTTGTGTAAACACCAACAAGTCTTTTAATTAGCTTATTTTTTTGTTACAAAATAAATACATCTATTGTAAAATTTTGAATATATATATATATATATATATATATATATTTGATTTTATAATTATTTTTGTTAATATTTTTGCTTACTTTAGAGGTTCAAAGCTCTTGCTAGCACCTTCAAATGATATAATATTTATTATTGTATAGTCAAAAAGGTTCAAACCATTTAACTTTCAATTTCGTTTTCATCTTTTTAATTATATGCATTTTAGTTCCAATCATCACATTGTTGCTTTCGATTTACATATTCTACAAATAGATGCACAGAAATGTTCAACAATGCGAACTTTTTTGTAATTATTTGAATCATTCTAAAAATCAAGATATTTATACAGTATGTTCAAAGTTGAAATTAACCATCTAAGAGATTCTTTGCATATTTTCCTAATTCAATAGTGTGGCCATGTTGTAGGATGATATTGATTACATATATAATTATGAATTAAGTGCATATTCTCATGGACAATATATCATGTTGCTCTTATGTTCATATTTACACCTCACATAATTTAAATAAATCAATCAACATATTACTTCAGTTTTGTTTTACAAAAAAAAGTTTGAAATTTTACATGCATTAGTGTAGGCATGTTTTACACAGTACTGTAAATTTTTGTGACACATCTGGCTACAAAGATACAGTACAATTCTAAATCAATACTGGTAATTCTTATACATATCATCCAGTCCAAGATGTGGATTAATTGATTTATTTAAAGACGGCAGAGGATGAGAACGGATTGAATCAACAAATTCCAAAAACATGTATGCACACATGATACCAGAGCCTTCATTGCCAAAAAGAATACAAAAAATTACTACGAGACTTCTTCAAATATATCAACGCCGTCCTCTCGTTTGATTAGAAATCAAGGAAAAATAATGATTTAAGATAGAAAAAAAATATGGCACACATGGCATAATGACAGGAAGGCCCATGTACTCAGTAACACCTCTTATGTCACTTATTCTAACGAATTTTATTATATTAATAATATTATTTGAATAACCGTCATCCGCTCCTCATAATACCCTATTAATGAAAAGTCTGAGCAAGCCCTCGGGCCCAACGACCCGGCCCAACGTTGCATAGCAGTGGATTCCTCACCGACAGCGGCTCCGACGATCACAGCAACCGCACCCAACAAAGTTCTTCGCGGATGTCGAGAATTGGAGCTACCACGCGTCGCAGCCCCCCCGTTTAGCCCCTAGTAGCAACTCGAACGTCCGCAAACGGTCCAGCGCGCGCAATGCTAAGCAGTTTCGTAGGGTGCCTCGGCGGAGAGTTCCAGACGGGCTGTCGTGATTGTGCCCCAGGATGCGTCAGAGTTGTCATTCTGTTAGCGTAGGACTTGTTTTTGATAGTGTGTGTGGAATCGTGCATTGGGTTCTGATGCTCTAGTGAAGGGCTTCATCACGCTTGTGAAGTGTCTGGGTTTTGTTGTATTTGGCTTTGGTTTGTTTCGGGGCGTTCGAGGTTTGGTTGCCATGGGGCGTAGACGATGGATTCCAGTCATGGTGGTGGCGGTTGTCGTGATGGTTGCCATGGCGGGGTCAGCAGAAGCAGACATGAACGAGGATCGTGTTGCGGAGCTGAAGCATTTGCAAGCGAAATCGCAGGATGGGGTTATACGCATGGACGACAACAGGTTTCGGCGGTTTGTGGCCACGGATGATCCCCGCCCTTACGCTATGATCCTATTCTTTGATGCGCAGCAGCTGCGGGAGCAGACGGAGCTGAGACTGGAGGAGTTTCGCCGCGAGTTTGGGTTGGTGGCGTCGTCTTACATCAAGCACAACGAGGGGGGTTCCGGAGACGGGAAGGTGTTTTTCTGCGATGTGGAATTCAAGGAGGCGCAGGGGGTGTTCCGCATGTTTGACGTGCAGACTCTGCCTCATGTCAGGCACCTGGCGGCGGGGAGTGGGGATCACAAGTTGAGCGTGGAGATGAACGCGGGCGAGTTTCCTCGCAGCGCCGAAGGAGTTGCAGCATTCGTGACTGCCAAGACGAGGCAGGAGTGCGGAGCCATTGAGCGGCCGCCGTTCTTGAGCAGGAACCGCATGCTTGCTTTGTTGGGGTTGTTCTTGGTATCGGCTCCCATCGTGGGGAAGAAGCTGGCAGCTCCAGGATCGCCTCTGCGCGACTATAGGGTTTGGATGGTGGGAGCATTAGCGATCTATTTCTTCAGTGTTTCAGGAGGAATGCACAATATCATTCGCAATATGCCGCTTTTCACTGTAGACAGGAATGACCCTTCCAAACTGCAGTTCTTCTACCATGGCTCCGGAATGCAGTTTGGCACCGAGGGCTTCATCGTAGGGTTTCTGTATACGATTGTGGGCGTCTTGTTGGCCTATGTGACGCACTTTGCGCCCAACATTCGGTCCAAGAATTCGCAACGGATGTTAATGGTCATCTCGATTACCATCAGCTTTGTCGCAGTCAGCAAGGTTATTGCTCTGGACAATTGGAAGACGGATTACTGGATCCATGCCTTTTGGCCTACTCGGTGGACTTAGCCCAACACAATCTCCGAATTTCTACTTCCCTCTGTTTCTTCATTTCATTCCGGTAATGTCTACCCGCAGTAGAGTTAGGGGAGTAAAGTTGAGCGTCAGGAATGAATTTGATTATAATTCATGTCTATCATCCCGTAATGCCACGAAGTTTACTGGTTTTCAATTACACGAGTTGGTGCATTTAGCATAGTGGCACTTGCATGTGCGGAGGATGTCGGCGGCAATAATATGTTGAACTGGAGTTGAACTTGCGCAGTATCGATTGGGAATCAAGAAATTTCATGTACACTGAAAATTTGTATCATCACTTCAAAAAGCTGCTGCCACAATTGTTTACTTCTCCAGATCCTGTTCAGCTGGAATTGTCAGGATTTGTGTGTGGTTTACCGTTTGCTTGTTCTATGGTTGGATCCGTTCATACACTACACAGTTCGATACAAGAACCAGGGACATCCACATAATGCACATTGGTATCATCGTTACGATCACCATGACTAATAAACAAACGTTTCTCTTCCTACCACAGAAGAAAGCTCAGTTCACATGGTGAACATCGTGATTACGAGTAAAAATGCTGCGGAAAGTTGCTGCGGAAAGGTGCTGCCGTGAACAGCTAGGAAAAGTATCTGAAGGTTGCCGCATCCTCTTGCCCATACTGTGGGATGCAATTCATAATTATCAATTCATAGGTTGAGAGCAAAGTGTCTCAGAGAAGGATTGCCCAGAGAAGCGCGACCATGCACTAGTGTATCTACTGAGGATAAATGTCATGTGAATCATTGAGTTGACCAGGTTCTCACAGCTAGAACTGCGAACGTCATCACACACAAAGCGCAGCAGCAGAAATCAGGTAACTTCCGGCTAAATAATGCTTCGAGTGTCCGGATACTGAGCCTATTTCCGGACACCGTTGTTTGCCCACAGATCTTGCAGCTTCAGACATCACAATGCTGCGAGTTCCACAACACAAGTGCTGTCAAATAGATCATCTTGCAAGTATTGTGTAAATTCTGAACTTCAATTCCGCCAACTCGTCAGCAAGTCCAAACGTACGAGGAAATAACGTGCAATACGTGCAAAAGCAACTCAACTCCATCAACATGCTTAAGTCCAGGAATATATCTCTGGATGAAATACTGAATCATGAAGACAAAAAGGTGAATTAGTTATTACCTTATGACACATTGTGCCCTTGGATTTCTCTTAGTGGATGAAGCTTTGAACTCGCAGTTCTGTAATATCCAACAAATTTCAGCACTCTTCGTTTCCAAAATCTTTGGTTCTCAAGACTCGTCAATCATCAACTCAGCTTGTCTTCCTGATCTGACAGATACAGTAGCTCCAACAAAACTGCGAATAGCCACTCAGAGCGTGATTCTGCGAGTACATGTTGACTCCCAACCGTACCAGGGTGACCCAACTACATTGAATTCAATCACTCTGTTCTACGTCATTGTCAGGCGAAGTGGACCTCACGCCACAACCCGGAGTCTAGAGAAATCACTACTTAAAAGGCAAGTACTGCACATAACTTCCAAGTCACTAGAAACTGAGATTCTTCGCATTGCTAAGTACTGGAAAGAGGATAGTGCACATGGAGTTTGTTCATCAAAAAGCAGGTATTTGTAACTACTACCATCTTGTGTTGGAAAATACCACTGCGTGTGGACGATAACAGCATCGTCTCCATTCAAATTGGCAATAGCACCAATTCACTCAAATGATATTGAAAATTGAATTTTCCAACGTTCTTTCACTCACCACTCAGGTACGTTCGGGGGAAAATAATTTAGTTACTAAGCTAGACCTCTATGAATGGAGTAAAATCAAGAAATAGCACAAATAATAAACAATTCAGGACAAAGACAAGTTGGATAGAGAAGCTGCTCGGAACATCTCTGAACAGAGCATATCCATTTCTTTTGAAGTTCATGCTAAAAAAGGAAATTACGATAGCAAGTAAATTCTGTCAAGGTGAACCTAGTTAAGTTTTCACATGTCAGCTCAAGGTTGCATCTAAGTAGTAACCAAAAGTTTTAGCTGTCGAAAAAAAATCTTTAAAAGAGAAGAACAGGAGAATATTTTGTAATCAGGAGATTAGATAAGGTAAAGTTTTGACAAAGTCTCCTGCTGCTATCAACAAAAAACAAAGTGAAATCTCAAAACAATGGTCATTGGCGAATTGAGCCTGACTAAGCTCAAAAAGTTCCCACGTCCTGCACTAACTATGACGCAGCAACCAACCTGGGAGAAAACCACAATCCTTGTGCTTATGCTGTCGTGACCACTCCAGAACAATAACACCGATTAAGCGGGTGTAAACGGATAAGCTATGCACTAGATGCGGGTATGCTGATTACAGGAGAGACCGGCACAAAATCAACGCGCCAATCCCAAGAGTGAGTACATAACTTCATATTCATAGAGCTGGTAATGTGGCTGAAGTTGGCCTAATTACATTGGTAACGGGCGCATGGGTTTAATATTGATGATTCTATCTAGAACCACTCAAGGGGTCTGACAAGGTCCGGTCACCATTTCTGTGCCAAACCGTGAAGCTAGCAGGAGCTCATAAAATCTAGGAGCAAAAAGAAGTAAAAATTAAAACGATACACAAAATGATATAACAATAATGAGCAAGGAAGGACATTAGTACACAACGCACCTGAATTGACAAGACGGACGAGAATGTCTCGTCATCCTAAAGCAACTGTAAATCTTGATGTTTGCCAGGACTCTTGGATCTCCATAAATAATTTAGAATAGATAAGTTCAACAGTTAGGATGGTTCTTAATTTTAGTCCACCTTGGATTGAAATCTCCATCATGTCAAAGACGTTCAGGGGTCTGAAGAAAACAGAAATTTTCAAACAGCAGGAGCATGGTTCCCGGGAAAATTTCCGATTCAGTAGGGAGAATCTGTCAAATCAATTACTTCTCTTGAAGACATGATTGGCGTGTCATCAGGTATCACGACAACCACCCGTGGCCTACATGGAGGGGTGCATGCAACGTTTACGGGAAGACTGTTTTTTCTTAAATCCTGAGTTGACGCACTTGACTCAGGACGAGTCGTATTGCATTCATTGGCTTTTTGCTGGAGACACCGCTTTACGATTGAGCTTGGCTGCTTCAGGGAGTACCGCTCCAGCAACGCTGAAAATGGAGATGCCGTGTCACTATCTAGTGCACTTCGAGCATATGGCAAAGGCGATAGAGCCTGGGGAGATGGTAACTCACACCAATCATCACTACAACGACTTTCGCACTCCTGAATATCTCGAATTGGCTTCATTTCCATTTTGCTCTGAGCTGGAGCATCTTGACCGGCTATAGTTTTGGCGCGGCAAGGAATTGTTGGAGGGGTTTCTAGGATGCATACTGAAAAAGAGCTTTCCGCTTCCGTGCGAAGTGTAGGTCCTCGTGTGTGTCTGTGTCGAGTTCGCAACAAGTCTGTGTTAACCATAGGTACCGTTCGAATGGAGAAGTTATCAGCAATTGGAGTGTCTGCCGTCTGTCTTCTATCCCTTAAATTCTCTGCTTCAACCTCTTCTAAGGTTCCCGACACCTTCGTAGAAATGACCAACGGCTGTGAGATAGATGAAGTGTATAAACTCGCGGAGGTCCCCTCAAATTTAGATGCATCCGGAAGTTTGCTCTGCTTTTTCGCTCTATCTAAGGATTCCACTCTTCCGGTTCCATTGCTCCAGCAATCTTGAGGCACTATTGGTGGATTCAAGTCATCTTCTTCGAAGTCAAAGGATCTAGATTCAACATCGAATAGTTCATCTCTGCTTCCTTCAACGTTTGATGTTTCTCGGCTTCCTCCCCTCTCCGTTTCCTTCTCCATTTCCATATCCAATTCAGAATCTGCTTCCTCCGCAGTCACCGGTAATGATTCAACTGGTGCAATGGATAACCCCATGTGAGGAGGCAGACCTGGACATCCTTTTCTGTAATCAATATATTTGCTTGAAAAAAATTGAACATTCAGATCCATGGCGCTCCATTTATCACAGTTCAGCATGGTAAACAGCAGATAAAATTGCTTCTTCAGACCACGAACTGAAGATGGAATACGACCCGCTGCTTCCCTCACAACCAGCGATTTCAAAGGATGTTGCCATGCCCATTCAAATTGCAACGCCTCTACCTGAACCAAAAACCAAGTTATTTGACGCATGCACACCCTCCCTTACATTATATTTTCACCTTAAGCACGCTGCGTAAGCTGTAATTCGAACGAAACCTTGGCCAATCTGGTTGATTGAAGGTAACAATCTTCCACAATCACATCACGACTTCCAATTCTCACAAACAAATTGGCTAGTTTCCCATTATGTTTCAAACAAATCTACTTATAATTTCTCTTATAAATGATCCTTACTCGACATCACATTGCAAGTATCACGAAAAATTCACACTCATAGAAATGTGAAAATCCCCCAGAAAAGAAAAGAAAAAACCCTAGAAATCTCTGTAAGACAGATATGCGCTTGCGGTACAATTACTCTGCAGAAGTACAACTGTTAGCCATATCAAGAACAACATCGAAAACAACAAAAAAGTTGTGGCTGAACAGAAGTACCTGACAAGCAAACCCGTAGACACAGAGGATCATGTCCCAGGGCCTCTTCCTGTGAGTGCGCCACGCACCAGACGTCAATTCTCCGTTGTGCTGCCGGATTCGACGACGAGGGTTCACTGTGAATCCAATGTAGTGGCATCCCTTGTAGCGTGGATTGAGCGAGGTCAGCAAGTAGCACGCGAAGAACGACCCTTTTCCATTGCCACTATCCTCCATTCTCTTCGAACCCAAGATCGTTCTACACCTTAAAACCACACGCTCCGCCTCTCAAGCATTAATATAACATAACATACCTCAACCGTGATTCTAAGGCTACGAGGAGTCGCAAAACTCGATCGAAACGCGAGCAACCGCAAAGCTTCTCGGAGGTGGAACCCCGAGGGGTCACAAACAGGTCGAGGAGCCCAGACCAATTCTGATTTGTAACGGTCATATTGATGAGGCAATATTCTATGTGAAGTATGCACCTTGTGTGTATTATCTAATTTTGAATATTTGAAAGTTCGTCTTTGCAGGGATGTTCCGAAGTCATCGTTTTTCGGTTTCTGGGTCCTTCCTCTCGTAGATCCTAGAATCTGGGACGAAGCTTCCTCGGATCTAATTTCCAAGCAGTGCAAGGTAGCGCAGGTTTATTCCACGACACGTGGCGTTTTATTATTATTATTATTATTATTTGAAACAAATAGATGGAATTCTATTGCAGAAAAAAGATAGAATACAAGTACCCCAACCAAGGCCGAACATGGCAGAAAGATACAGCCTAAACTAACCTTCTAAGACTAGGGCTAGGACTTACTAGCTTCCAATTAGGTTGATCATTGTCTTATGACACAAAAACATTGTTAATGCATTAGACTTTTCAAAAACATTTTGTGTAACTTACTATCTTTGCATGTTATTTGTAATGTTGGCCATGAACCTTAGTCCATGCAAGGTGGTCATAGTCCATCATATTCAACCAACACTTATTACATAATTTGAATGGAGTCTAATGAATGCAGTTGAATGCCACATGGTTTGGTTCTATCCAAAGGTGCCAAATAATTGATTCCTTGAGCAGCAACTATTGGCGGCTAACTTTGTAAAAATGCTAGGATGTCCAATATACAAAAATGCCTTATTTTTAATTGAGAGAGAAGTACATGTCTTGGAAGCTTAGTGTTTTTGAGGCCTTAGAAGCTCCAAAGGTTCTCAAATCATCTTAAGAGCTCTATAAAGTTGGATTACTTGTAAGACTACTTACTAGATATATAATGTCTAAACCCATGATCAAACTTTTATTATGATGAGTATTCTAAAAAGAATGTGGAAGGACGTTTATTATAAGTAATTCATGTAGACTACATGACATTGATCAATCTCGGCTATGACTTGCCCTCTCTATGTATTCACGTCAACTATTTGGCATTTTAGTAGGAATATAAGATCCACTTCTTTCTTTAATCTTTATTTGTTTTATATATTGGTCGACCATAATTTATATGTGGTGGTGTCGTAGACATATATATTTATCTAGATAAAAAGTATTAAATAGAAGATAAATATAAATAGATTTCATATAATCTTGTGGCTAAGTTTCTAAGAAGCTACATAGATGCATATTTGATTTTAAACATATTCATAGTTAATTGATAGCTTATAAACTTGGCCAACAAGTTAGCCATATATTGCATGGATGAGAAGCTTGTGATATAAGTTAATGATGTGGTATGCATATATGAAACTTGCCTTATAACTTAAGTCATATGCCTTACAATTTGGACATGTGTTGGAAGTCTTATAAGACGTTGCTATGTAGCTCCAAGTTGGATAATACATATGGAGGCAAGAATGAAGTCTTCTTTACTTTTTTTAATACCATTTTAGTCCTTAGTCTTCTTTTAAAACTTTATAATCTTCTTGTTTTTGGCAATATCTATTCTAATTCAATATATTATCATCTTTGAGTGATTTTTTAGTCTTCTTAAACAACATAAGAGTATAATGAGATTTTTTTTTTTTTTTTTTTTTTTTTTTTTTTTTTTTTTTAATTTATGTATTTGATAGCTTGACAAGAGTCTTAATACATTGTCTTTGTTTGGTATTAGAAGTGAATAGACTATCGTACTTCAATTCTTGTATTTTGAAAGTTGTGGACCATCCACCTTCAAACTTACTTTTAGTTTTTTACTATTCATTGTTTTTTTTAAAGAGAAAGGACTATCCTTCTTAATAGAAACTTTTATTTGATATTAGAAATTATGGATTATCCTCCTTTATTTTTACTTTTAGATTTTTTTGAATTATTTATAATAGGAAAAAATTGAAGAAGCTACTCCTAGTGGAAATGGGAAAAAATTTGCAACTATTATAGAACTTCATGAGCTTATCAACACTCTAAGAGTAGAAATCTCACTTATCTCTCATGTCAACTATGGAAGTAGTATTTTGATGTCTATAGAAGTTATCAACATTGAAAATCAAAGTCTACACATCAAAGACATAAACTTTTAAAAAAAAAAATCTCAATATATTCTTATGTCACTTAGAAAGACTAAAAAATTATTCAAAGATAGTAATATATTAAACTAAAATGGCTATTTTCAAAGACAAGAATACTAAAGAGACTTGAAATAAGACTAAAGACTAAAAAGGCATTGATGAGAGTGAAGAGGCTTCATTTTTACCTCCATATAAACTATCAACTAAGAACTATATAATGACATCTTATAGGAGCTCAAATAAATATCCCATTTGGAAGACATGTGTCTTAACTTACAAGGCAAGTTTCTTATATACATGCCACATCATTAACTTATACCACAAGTTATCTACATATGCCACACATGGCTAACTTTTTGGCCAGGTTTCTAACCTAAAAATCAACTATAAACATGTATAAAGTTAAATATGCATCTATGAAGCTTCTAAGAAGCTATGCTATAAAATAATATCAAATCTAACTATATTTATTTACTATTTGATACTTCTTATTTAAATATATATATATATATATATATATATATATATATCCATGACATATTCTTTCTTTTTAGGAATAAGTTCTACAAAGAACAATCATCATATGCTAAAAAAGTCCAAAATACAAAAAATTATGTTTGTTACATATTTTGATTTTTTTTCTCTTCAAAGATGGTTGAAAGGTCCTCTCAGCCATTGATAATGTTCTACTCTAGGAAAAAAAGACCACCCTATTATTTGGTTTTTGTTAAGGCATTCATAATTTCTTTCAAACAAAACATTTATAAAACCATCAGGAGTCATTTCTACTTCTAATAAAATCACCAAACATAAGGAGTCTTTTCCAAGATTGTGATATCAAACGCATTGTATCTTATCATCTATTCAAAGAAGAATTTGTCATTTTTGAAGATCTTAATTTTGATTACATCATCTTGAAGGCTATAACAATTACAATGTCTTATTTAATAAGTCAATAAAAAATAGCTCTTAAATTGAATCTGGTGGTTGTTAATTTTTTATATACAAAAATTACAAATAAAGATAGAAGATAAAATAAAATATTTTTAAAATTTTATTTTTTTTATAAAAAATATTTGTTATTCTTTATTTTAATTTTGATCGATGTGTCATGGAAATATGCATGTAAGCCAATAATTACATGTATAAATAGGTAGAAGTAAGTAAAAGTATGTAAAAGTAAGTTAATTCTATAGTATTTGGTATGAAAGCTTTCTAAAAGCTCCATAGACACTGCTTTGACTTTATATGTATCTTTAATTGACTTTCTGGGATTAGAAATGTAGTTAACAAGTTGGCCATGTACCACACATGTTGTTAGCTTGAAGACCAAGCTAATTATGTAGCCCACACGTAGAAAAACTTGCCTTGTAAGTCAAGGCATGTGTCCTACAAAGTGAACACATATTGGAAGTCCTATAGAACGTCGCCACATAGCTCCTCGTTAGATAGTATATATAGAGATAAGAGTGAAGCCTTTTTCACTCTTGTCAACTCCTTTCTTGCTTCCAGTCTAGTTTCAAGGGTCTCTAATTTCTTTGTCTTTTGACAATAGCCATTCGAGTTTCTCTTTCAATATACATACTTTTTTATTTATATTTTGTTACCTTTCTTTGAGTGAAGGCTCACTTGTCTGAATTACTTTTACATCGAGTTCTTATCCTTGACAGATTGACAAGAGTACACCTACAATATCAGAGCTTTGTCTAATCTTAATTAAGATTGGATTACCCTTTTTTCTTGATAAGACATAACCATATTAGAAGTTGCAGATTACCCTCTTCTAAACTATTATTGTCTTTACTATTTTCTTTGTTCTCAAGTCCTCTCTTCTATTTGACTTGAGTAATATTAGACATCTTTTCTTTTTTAAGTGTTATAATCGCAGAATTTATTGAAATGAAGAGTGCAATGGCTTAAATGCAAGAACAATTGAGGTAGTTAATGCTTGCGATGCATCAACTCAATTTACCACCAAAAGAAGCAACAAGATTAGAAGGAAGTGAAGATATAGAAATGATTGGATCTACTTCAATATCTGCACCAAATCATGTTCCTTCTCCTATGATAGAATGCCCTTCCAGTGCTAGAGAACCAATAATTGCCCTACCAGAGAAGTTTGATGGCACCAGATCTAAGTTTCAAGGATTTATCAATCAAGTACAACTTGTGATTGAACTTCAATTCCAAAGCTATCTAACTCTAGGATCACAAGTTAGATTCATTGATACACTTCTTTCAAGTTTAACATTATCATAGTTTTCATCTTTTCTTGAACGACGAGATCCAATATTGGATAATCTAGAGGCTTTTTTGGTAGAGTTTTGATCCATGTATAGAAAACATGATGCAATTCATGTTGTAACTAATAAGATCCGTATTTTACAACAAGACAATCGATCAATAATAATGTATGTTTCATAATTTCGATAACTTGCAATTGATATCAAGTGGGATGATGGACTGCACTTCTTAGCCAATTTCTCTATGGATTATAATATGAAGTAAAATAATTAATGCTCAACTTAACTGATCCTCAAACATTGAGTTAGGGAATTGACTTTGCTGTGAAATATGACAATCACCTTTTTGAATTCTAATCTGAGAACCGTACAAGTGGACCTCAACGTTACTATAATTCAATAGCAATACTAACATCTCTTCAATACATACATTCGGAAGTAGAAGATATGCAAATTGATGCAATATGTTTTAAACCTCTTATTGAGCAAGAAAAGACTCATTGTTGTCAAGAAGGATTGTACTTATATTGTAGAGAACCTAAGCACATTATAGAACATTAGCTAAAGAAGTAACGTAACCATAAAATGAAGAGTACGGCGATCAAAGAAGATAGCATGTCGGAAAACAAATTTGTCCAATTACAATAGGGACCATGCGGCTAAAACCTTGTACAACGCCTAGTGAAGGTCATATCTTCTCCTCAGAATCCTCTCCATGTTTTACGATAAATGTT